GTCCCATTGGGATTGACCCCATCTCACAATTCCTTCTCTTCCATTTACCTGTCCTTTCAGAATTTGGGCATGCGTGCACACATGCCTGGTGTGTTCCTCAACTCACCAGGTCTGGGATTCAGTCTGCATGGTGGGATATGTGAGATTCAGCTGTGGTAACACGCAGGCCACAGAGGTAACCCAAATCTACTTTTTTAAATGTAAATTTTATGAAATGGGAATATGCATTTGAGTATTGTTGATGAAAATTCAATGTCCAAATTGAGATATACTATAGCAGTAAAACACACATATGACCTCAAAGATTTCATATAAATAAGAAACCATAAAATAATTTGTCAATAATTTTATATGATTAGATGTTCAAAAGATAACTTATTAAATAAATAAATTAAAAGATGATTTATTTTTAAATTTGCTACAAGGTGCTCACTAGACAGAGAGAGAGACGGAAAGCACCTCTCATGAGGGTTGGCCACCCCAAGAATCACTTCTCTATGTCTCCTTTTGGGATTTTAGGCACATGCACACACATTTGGCATGTTTTTCAAACTGTCAAATTCCAGACCCAACCACATGGCTAGTCATGTGTGATCTAGTCTCCTTCAGTCCCACACCACACACTGGCCCCCAAGAATGATATTTTGAACATGTTTGGTTAAGTGAAGTATTATTGGGGCCAGCAGGCAGTGTAGTGGTTAAGGCACTGTACTCCCACGTGGCTGACCGCAGTTCAAGTCCCACACCTGGCAGCTTGCTTTAGCACTTGCTTTAGTATTCATTTCACTTTTTTTACTACTGGGTTGTTGGGAAAATATATTTTGTGTGTTTTTCTATGCAGAAATGCATCATGACTTCTCCAATAACAATATTTTTAATGCTGCTGCTACTAGAAAATTTAAAATGACCAATGTGGCTCACGTTGTATCTCTGTTGAGCATGCTGGCAAAAAAGGAAAAGAGAAATCTAGAAATTTAAATGCACAGAATGTTCAATCTTGATTATGTCTCTTCTCAGAAATCTCAGTTCTCAAGGAATTTTTTTGACTGTTCCTGATAGTGGATCCTGCTTTGGCAAGCCTGGGAGTCCCAGCTCTGGAAAGAAGAGGAAGAACGGAGCCCAGGACTTAGGGGATCCCAAAGTATAAGGTTTTATGTTCAAAACCAGACTGTTTGTTTTGTTTTCCCAGCCCTGGTGGCTTGAAAAATATATGAACAATATCCACTTGGAGCACAGAAAGGGATAAGTCAGCCTAGTGTAGGTTTAAGTCTCTAGCCCCAGGGAGTGTAGCTGCAGAGAGCTTCCCAAAAGCTCAGCATACTGTGTGTGTAATAAGTCACCAGAGGAGGCAGGAGGAATTTCTGTCTCTGCCTGCAGGTATTCGGTAGAGCAATTTAACAAAAAGTTATGTGCCAGGCTTTGTACTAATAAGTGCTTTAGGTTTGGTTCCTTTAAGTTTATGAAACCTAATGAGGTAGGTGTCACTACTACACCCACACTACACATATTATCAAGGTTCAGTGCCTCATCCAAGGTTGCATAGCTGGTAAGAAGCAGAGCAGGGATTCAAACCACAACAGTCTGACTCTTAACCATCACACTAGACAGCAAGCCAGTTGTCATGCTAGTGAACCAAAGGATCACCTTCGAGGAAGAGAATCCTTGTCTTGTATCCTGCACCATTCTGTTACTCTGGGATTCAGTCATTTCTCCCTTCTCCCTGTCCTGTTCCCAGCACAGAGCTGGCTGTGGACTAAGTGGCAACTCCTTACTGACTGACAGATGAATATGTGTCATTAAGAACAACCCATGTGGGCCAGAAAGTGGCAAGATGGCTAAAATGCTGGACTCCCACATGGCCTATGGTGACTCGAGTCCTGGACACACAGCTTGAGAATCATGCTGCACATGTGTGTGTGCATGCCCAAAATGCCAGCAGGAAAAGGGAGAAGGGATTACAACATGGCCATCCCCCCATGAGATGATTTCTCCCTTGCCCTCTCACTGTTTCCCTTCAGCAAGCTCACACACCTTATGAAAAAAAAAAATCAGAAAAAAGAAAAAGAAACAACCCATGGACCTGCCCCATGGCCTAGAGGTTAAGGGAGCTGAATCCCATATAGCAGCCTTCAATGGTTCAGATCCTGGCCCTGGTGGCTTGAAAAATACATCAAGCACATGTACATGTGTCCCAAGATCCTGACATAATGGAGAAATGGAGAAGAGATTGCAGCATGACCGTGCCCCATTTGGGTGTGCTTTCTCCTCCTCCCCTCTCTCTCTTTCTGTCTCTCTGGCAAGCACACATACCTCCTGGCAGGGGACATTCCTGTCTCTGCCCTTTGGGGACACCTTCTGATTTATTAAAGAAGAAGAGACGGAGAAGAAAGAGAAGATGATGATGACAATGATGATGATGCGTGGAAAAAGGAAGAGGGAGGAGGAAAAGGAGAAGGAAGGAAGGAAAGAAGAAAAGAAAGAAGGAATCACCCAGGTGCTCCCCAAAAAGAAAAGCAGAGGGAAATCTGGTTCTTTTGCTACTTTGGTTTATTGCTGACTCTAGTGTGATACCTATCACTCGTTCACCGCTCATTCATTCATGTTCAGCATCTTTTCTTTCAACAAACAGTCCTCAGTCCCTTGTCTGGGGGTGCGAATGAAAGTTTCATGACTATTACTACTGTTAATAACATTAATACGAATTAGTAGCAATAGTAATGATTCCTAAAATTACTATTACTGTTATCAATATGACACAGGATGTTGGGGTGATCAGGCCCACGAGATGACCAGGTTCTTGTCTCATGCTCAAGAAGAATTAGAGACAAAGGCGAAGGGAGAAGCAGCAAATCAAAGTTTATTGGAAGGAAAAGAAAGTTTCTAAAGTGAAAGAGGTCCTGAAAAAAGCTTGTCAACTGGAGACTCTCACCAAGAGTTTTTATCTAGCAATCCAAGTGATGAGCTGGCTCTCTGATAAAGAAGTGGGCTTCAGAAAATAGTTACATGATAGTCTGGGTGGCTTATTACCCCATTCTTTGTTTATTAAAACTTAGCCATTGTGGGACCAGCAGGTGGTGTAATGGTTATGTCACTGGAGTCCCACGGAATCAACCACAGTTCGAGTACTGGACTCACTGGCTTAAAACTCATGCCAGGTGCATGTGTGTGTGTGTGCCCAAAAATCCAGATGGGAGAATGGAGGAGACGGGATCATGGCACAGTAATCCCCCCTGGGGATTGATTTTTTGCTCTCTCTCTCTTGCTCTCTTCTCTCTGTCTCTCTGGCGAGCGCATGTGCCCTATAGCAAAAATCTCTTTCTAGGGGTCTGCAGGTGGTGTGGTGGTTAAAGGAGCTAGATTCCCACATGGTTAACCACAGTGCAATTACCAGACCTGGTGGCTTGCTTTCTCGCTTTTCCCTTTCTCTCTCTTTCTGTCTGTTCAAATTTTAAGAATAAAAATAATAAATGGAATTAATTAAATAAAAAAATCGGCACATGCGCTCACCAGAGAGAGATAAAGAGAGAGAAAGAGAAAGAAAGAAAGAAAGAAAGAAAGAAAGAAAGAGAGAAAGAAAGAAAAACTTAGCCATTGTGATGTGATCCTGGGTAATGCTTACTGGGTTTCCATCTTGGGCCTTATATATTAATTATTGAGTTGTTCTATATTTTAGAGTTCTATATTTTTCAATGCAAAAAATGCATCATGACTTTTCCAACAACCCAATACATGTCCCAACCCTATCTCCTACCTCATTCCCCCCCTCTGTAAACAAGTGGTATTATCTATAAGAACTTCATTAACAATAATAATTACGGTAATAAGCACTTGAGTACTTACTATGCTTAACAATATTAACATTGAAGTTTTTTTTTAATTTGGGGCACTTTATTTTCTGTGTTTTAGACTAAGCATGGCACCATTTAATAAGGTAGACTTTCGTCCTTACCGAATTGTTTCCTGTCTTGCACTCTGCGCTTCAGCAACATCCAAATATTATACTTACTGTTTTCAAAAATGCTCCTAATTCCAGGTCCTTGAGCCTCTCTTATTCTCGTTTCTGTTTTGTTCTCTCTATTAAATGAGCTAATCCTCTTTCAGCAACCTCAAATACTTTACTGGGTCAATTGGATTTTGGTTTCTTTTGGTGTGAAAGAAGAGCAGATCATTTCTTCTTTTGGCCTCAATAGCTCCTTTATCCCTCCTGTTTGCTCCCCACTAGCCCATGGGCTACTAGTGACGAGGGATAGCAGGTTCCTGTCCCCAGCTACTGGCACAAGGTTTGTCACATGATTGTTGCTGACATTCAGTCAACACTACGTGCCAAGCTTAGTGCCCCTTCTTTCAGATTACATCATTTCTTCCTTCCAGCATGATGCAGATACCGATACTCATCCCCATTTGTAAGTGAGAGGTAAGTGTGTGAGTGTGCGCGCCGGAGAGGGTGCACTATCACATTAGAAAATGAGTGTGAAAAAGGCGAATGACAAATCAATGTTACGAAAACTGTTTCCGCAGCGGACCTCTGAAAGGCACGCTTTGAGAATCGCTGCTGGGGAAACTTTATTTTGGGACGAAGTTTATGCCTCGGGATTCTCTTACACGATTGAGGTCATGGTGAAAGAGTGAGATCAAACACCAGCGGGTCTCGCGCTTTCCTCTTTTACTCTCTTGGACTAAGGGTGACGCATGTCCCCTGGTTCAGGCTACGCGGTGACGTCATACAGCGACAGCGACGCCCTCTCGCGGGGGGGGGTGCCACTACATTTCCCAGGATGCTTTGCCAGGAGGACGCCATTGGTGGGCGCCGGAGGAAGTGCACCTGACCGAGCGGAAGTAGACGGTCTTGGGGGGGGCCGGAGGAAGTGCCCCTGCCCGAGCGGAAGTAGACGGTCTCAGAGGCTAGGAAGGTGGAGACGGGAGGAGCTGAGGCTGTGAGTAGCCGGTGGGGCTGGAGGTAGGGGAAGAACGCAGCGAGGGGCTAGTCGGCCGGGATGCGCGGGTGGCGTGTTCGGACCCTGGGCTCACGCTCCTGCATTCTTCCATCAGCCGAGAGCGAGACGTTGCCGTAGAGGAGAGTGTCCGAATTGCCACCTAGCTGTTTAAGTCCCCTTGACCTGAGCTGGGACAAATTCGACCCTTGCCCTGCTATAGGGGGTCGGTGGCGTGATTTTGCTGCGACCAGAGGGCTGGAGTTGATGACGGGCTGACTCAGCTTCTCGAGCGGTGGTTTGCAATTGGCTGTACATGAGAAACATTGTTTAAAAGTGAGAAAAACCAACAAACTACAGTTTCCCCGGCCCGGTGCGCGACCATTTGGTCAGAATTTGAGCAGGCGTGAGCCGCGGCGTTTTCTAAAACAGCCGGAGTGTGCCGTTGTGCAGCCGAGGCTGCGTGCCTGATTGCGACCCCCGATCAGAGTCCCCCAGTAGGACCGCCTGCACCCGGGCTCCGCTGCCGCTGTACGCGCGGGCTTCTCCGCACTCCTGGTGGGGTGACCACATGATTGTCCAGTCTATGGGACGATCACTCTTGGCATGGATTCCATTTTGAGCTCCAGCAGAGACTTATTCTTAGGCTTCCTGTGATGCTGGCGAGATGGACGTTAGTTTCTTCCCCACAACTTGGTATTCATCCTGAATAAAGAGTAGGGCTGCTTCGTTTTTCTTGCTCCTGTTCTGGCTTTTGCCTATTTTTTGCTCCCCCAACCACACACAAGCAGTGGAATGTGGAAGAGCCCTGTTAAGATTGGTGTTTTGTCGCTTGTAAGAAGTCCTGATACCGGATTTGAGCAGGAAAGGGATGTCAATTAAAATGTCTTTTGGCTTTGTTTATGAACTTGTGATAACCTACTTTAATCATGAATTCCGGCTAGAGGAAGTTAGTGTGTGTTTTGATCTTTGATGTAGAGATTTGATTAGGTGTGAGAGGCACATTGGTTTGGTTTTCTTAGAAGCACCATTACACAGCAGATTTGTTTTTTCTTTCTCAGAACTTAAGTTTCACCTCCCCCACATTCAGTATGGGGGAGAAGTCGGAGAACTGGAAGGTTCCAGAGGACCTGCTCAATGGTTTGAAGGTTACAGATCCCCAGGAAGCAGAGAATGCCAGCCCTCAAGTTCCTGATCCCAAAGGCCAGCATTCCCAGAGCAAGCCACTCGGGGAGGATGAGGCTCAAACCCAGGAGGACCAGGGAGAGGAGGAGTGTTTTCATGACTGCAGTGCCTCCTTTGAGGAGGAGTCAGGAGTGGATAAGCTTGCCAACAGAGCTGATGATGATGGGAATTCCTCTGAACTGGATGAAGAATATCTGCTAGAACTGGAAAAAAACATGCCAGATGAAGAGAAACAGGTAAATATTTTATTTATTGTGTGCTATCTGCCCTTAAAACTTTTTAAAATGGGTAAATGTTGTTAATACAGTATCATAGTCTATTTCTGTGATAAAAGGTAACTTGCCCCGTGTGTCCTTACTGGTTTAGTAGTGATGGATCCAAGGTAAATCAGTGGTGTGGCCAGGAAACATTGAGTGTGTCTGCTGAGAAAATAAATGTTTTTCCTGTGGAATTGTAGTTCTTTGTTCATCTTGTATTTCAGGAGTCCGTAACATGTTTTCTAACATATTTTCTGACAAGTATATGTTGCCTTTTAACTTTATGAATAACCTTCTGGGACTAGCAGGTGACATAATGGTTATGTCACTGGACTCCCATGTAGTTGACCACGGTTTGAATCCCAGACCTGGAGGCTTAAAACTTGTGCTGGGCATGTGTGCATGTATGCCCAAGATCCCAAGAGGAGAATGGGGGAGAAGGGACTGTTACATGGCCGTCATCCCTGAGGGGTGATTTCTCGCTTTCTGTCTCTCTGTCTCTGTCTCCGCAGCAAGTGCATGTGCCCTATAGCAAAAAATCTCTAAAAAATAAAAAAAGGCCTTTCTGTGATTGGCTGCTGAAATTTCTGTAATGAACATTTTTTATAAACTTGAGATTATAGTATGCTTCCTATTTATGTTAATTTCTTGTTAGCAAAATACAGCTGCCTGTATTTCACTTGGAGAAAGCAGTGCCTGAGACTCAAGGTAGTAGCTATCGCCCGGCATGAGTTCAAGCCACCAGGTCCGGGACTCGAACCGCGGTCGACTACATGGGAGTCCAGCGACATAGCCATTACACTAACTGCTGGTTCTCGGCATCTATGAAATCTTAATGCCAGCCACTGAACTTAAAATGTGTTTTCGTGATATCCTCACAGTAGCCTATGAGATACATACAGTTATGCATTTAAAAGTAGTAAAGTAACTTGCCCAAGGTCACCTACCTAACAAATGGCAGAACTCATTCTCAAACCTGGATCTGTTTGATTTCAAGCCAAAGTACAGTGTAGAATTTTTTTTTAAATCTTTTTCTTTTTTTAAAATTATCAGCAGGTGTGCAGGTTTGCAAGAGACAGGGGGAAAGAGAGAAGGCACCCCACAATGGGGCATGGTTATGCTGCAATCCCTTTCCCTCCATTTCTCCCTCCTCTCAGTATTTTGGACACACCCACACATGCATCTGGCTCCGGAACCAGAAACCGTGGAGTTGACCATTTGAGATCCAGCCACTTTAACTACCAAGCCACAGACTGGCCCTATAATTGGCCCCTTTTGATAACATATGAACATATGCTAATGAGGCAACTTAGGGTGGGGACTCTAGATAGCCTTAGGATGGGACCACTCACCAAAAAGACTAAATGACTGGAAGACTGGAGGGTTGGAACTTTTAGCCTCATCCACCAAACTCTAGGAAAGTGGTGTGTGGGGGTGGGTGGGGGGAAGGTTGTGAGCAGTTGCTGGAAATTACGCTCTATAAAAACTTTTTTATGGGACCAGCAGTTAGCGTAATGGCTATGTCACTGAACTCCCATGTAGTCAACCACAGTTCGAGTCCTGGACCCGGTGGCTTAAACTCACGCCGGGTGTGTGTGTGCGTGAATGCCCAAGATCCCAAGAGGAGAATGGAGGAGAAAGGGATTGCAGCATCACCATTCTCTTTCTGTCTCTCTCTCACTCACTGTCTGTGTGGCAAGCGCACGAGCCCTATAGTGAATAGCTCTCCAAACCAAAAAAACAAACTTTTTTACTATTATTATATTTTAAATTTTATTTATTCTTTGAGGGAGAGGGAGGGAGAGGAAGGCATCCCCACCAGTCTTCACGCCTAATCCACCCCCAGCCTCAGCTAGCCAGGACCGCTGGCATATATGCAATGGGGAGGTCCTAGGACATGAACTCAGGACCCTCCCATGTGGATTCTGTTGTGTCATCACTGTGCCACACACAGCCTTGCTCCCAGAAAAACCTGAACAAGAGTTTTGATGAACTTCCATTTGCTGAGCACATGGAGGTGCTGAGAGGGTGCCCCCCAGGACATGCATGGAAGCTGCTGCTTCCTCCTACCTTATCTTATGCATCACTTCATCTGGCTGTCCGTGTGTATCATTAGAATACACCAGTAAAGGTAAATAGTGTGTCCTCAGTTCTGTCAGCTGTCCTTGCACAGTATCAAACCCAAGGAGGAAGTGGTAGGAACCAGTCAGAGCTCAGGTTACATCTTTGGACTTGCAGTTTGTGTCTGAAGTAGGGCCAGTCTCATGGGACAGAACCCTAATATATCTTCAGAAAGCTAGTGTCAGAATTGAATTTAATTATAGGATACTCAGTTGGTGTCCACTGGAGAATTGCTTGGTGTGGAAAAAACCCTCATGTCTGGTGTTTTAAGTATTGTAAGGGTATAGTAGGAGAGAAATAGAGTGTGTCTTTCCAAGAGTAGTATTTAAAATATTTGTTATGCAATGTGTGATAAAATTAAAAAGAAAGATAAATAGTAGCTATTGGTCTAGAATACATATAATATAATACTTTTTATTTAATTTTATTCATTCATTTCTTTATTTTTAAATTTGACCAGAGAGAGACAAACAGAGGGGGGGGAGGGGAGAAAGGGAAAATGAGAAAGTGAGCTACAAGGTTCCGGACTTGAGCCATGTCAGCCATGTGGGAGTGTCCAGTGCCTCAACCACCACACCACCTGCTGGTCCCAATGTAGGATTTTTTTAAAGGATTTATTTATTTGATTTTGTTTATTATTATTAATTTTTATTGTTTTTTTAATTTGTTTTTTAACTTGTTATAGGGCACACACACTCACGAGAGAGAGAGAGCGAGAGAGTGAGCAAGCCACTAGTTTGGGACTTGAAACATGGTCAGCCATGCAGGAGTCCAGTGCCCCAATCACCATGCCACATGCTGGCCCCTATAAAGTAATATTAAGTGAATTAAGCAAGTTGTAAACAGTCATTATTCTTTGTAAGCTAAAAACCTATGTGTGTTCTGGGACCAGCAAAAGGCGTAATAGCTACGTCGCTGGACTCTCATGTAGTTGACTGCAGTTCGAGTCCTGGACCCAGTGGCTTAAACTCATGCCGGGCACATGTGTGTGCGTGCCCAAGATCCCAAGAGGAGAACGGAGGAGAAGGGATTGCAGTGTGGAATGTGGCCATCTCCCTGGGGAGTGATTTCTCACTTTCTGTCTCTCCAGTGAGCACACACACCCTATGGCAAATACGTTTAAAAAAAAAAGTTTCTCTTTGAGTAAAATCAAAGATACCCAGATTCTGTTAAACTGACTGGACTTGTCCTGTGGCTGAGAAAATAATCTAGGCTTAAGTGAATTGTCAGTTCTCAGGAGATCTCACAAACCAAAAGTAATGGAGGAAGAAATTAGTTAGGATTTGGTGAAAACTGGCAAACTCTCTTAATCAGATCACAGTGTATGATTGTGTTTATTTTAGCAGAAAATCTGAACTATTAATAAAAGCTTAAATGTAGATATGACTACTCACAGGAATGGGATTTTAGCTAGACTTTAGGATGTATGTGTGGAGCTCTTTCCTTTTGCTTTGTTGCTCCGCTGAAAGCAGGATGGGTCGTCAGCAGCTCTACTGGAGCCACCCGCGAAAATTCGGCCAGGGCTCTCGTTCTTGCCGCGTGTGCTGGAACTGGCACGGTCTGATCTGGAAACACGGCCTCAACATGTGCCGTCAGTGTTTCCGTCCAGTGAAGGACATAGGCTTCATCAAGTTGGACTAAATGATCTTCCTTGAATGGATTGTCCAAGATATAAACCCAGTGAAAGAGATCATGCTGGCTATTTGTATATAAAACAAAATAAATAAAACTCTTCAAAAAAAAAAAAAAAGATGTATGTGTGAAGCAAGTAAGTGATTACAAAAGGCTTGGCTGTGGTGAAAGGCAGATCTGGCAGCAAATGGGAATTGTTGCTCTAATAATGTTATATAAATATGCTGTCTTAGTCTGTTTAGGCTGCTCTAACAAAATACCTTAGCCTGGATAATTTATAAGTAATAGAAATTTATTGCTCGCATTTCTGGAGGCCGAGAAGTCTAAGATTGAGACAGCAGCAGAATTGGTATCTGGTAAGGGCCTGTTCATAGATGGCACTTTCTGTGTCCTCACGTGGCAGAACTGGCAAGGCAGCTTCTTTCAGCCTCTTTTATTAGGGCACTAATCCCACTCAGGAGGGTAAAGCCCTCATGACTTAATTACATTGCTTAATGATGGGAATATGTTCTGAGAAATATGTTGTTAGTTAATTGTGCAAGCATGATAGAATATATTTTATATAAACCTCAGTGTTATAGCCTGTTACACACCTAGGCTATATGTATAATCTTATGGGACCATAGACATAGATTTTTTTCAATTTAATTTTGTATATATTATTTTTTAATTTACTGTAAGGCACATGTGCTCACCAGAGAGAGACAGAGAGAGAGAGAACGTGAGCAAGAAAGCAAGCAAGCAAGCTGCCAGGTCAGGGACTCGAACCACAGTCGGTCATGTCGGAGTCCAGCACCTTAACCACTACGCCACCTGCTGGACCCAACAGACATATATTTGGCCATTGTTGAATAAAGCATCTTTTTTTTTTTGACTTGAGAGGTTTTTGCTGTAGGGCATGTGCACTCGCCAGAAAGGCAGAGAGAGACAGAGAAACAGAAAGTGAGAAATCACCCCCCACACATGGGATGGCCACGCTGCAGTCCCTTCTCCATTCTCTTCTCAGGATCTTGGGCATGCACGCATGTGCACTCGGCATAAGTTTAAGCCACCAGGTCCAGTACTCAAACCACAGGCAACTACCTGGAAATCCAGCAACATAGCCATTACACCAACTACTGTTCCCGAATAAAGGATCTTTACATAGCATTTGACTGTACTTCCCGAAGGACTCCACCTCTTAATACCACCACAGTTGGGATTAGGTTTCAAGAGACACATTTAGA